CAGTGTTGGCTTGTTTTAGCAGATCCATCTGTAACACAGGAGGGATCCTTGGCTGAGGATTGTATTGCAGAACCACTGACTGCTCTTGACAGTTGTTAACCCACTAGACTCTTTTGGTTAGAGAAGCCACAGTCCTTCAGCCTCCAGTTGATAGAGATACTTAGGAAGACCACAGCTAGATGGATAAACAGCACTGAGAGGCCTCAGCCCTGCTCCTCTCAATTCCATCCTGTAGAAAACAGGAGTCAGGAGCCGCTGGCAGGAGACAGCATGTCACCCAGGACTCTGCTGGTGCAGTATCGGGAGAACCCACTCCCAATGTTTAATGTGTGTTCTTTTCTATTTCCTAAGTGTCTCGGCTGGGTTGAATAAATAAAGGGAAAGAGCACAAGAGAGAGAAATTTAAAGCTGGGTGTCCGGGGGAGACATCACATGTCGGCAGGATCCGTGCTGTTCCCCAAGCTGAAAAACCAACAAGTTTTTATTAGCAATTTTCAAAAGGGGAGGAGTGCACAAATAGGGTGTGGGTCACAGAGATCACATGCTTCACAAGGTAATAAAATATGACAAAGCAAGTGGAGGCAGGGCGAGATCACAGGACCACAAGATGGGGCGAAATTAAAATTGCTAATGAAGTTTTGGGCACACATTGTCATTGATAACATCTTATCAGGAAGCAGGGTTTGAGAGCAGGCAACCTGTCTGACCAAAATTTATTAGGTGGGAATTTCCTCGTCCTAATAAGCCTGGGAGCGCTACAGGAGGCCGGGGCTTATTTCATCCCTTCGGCTTCGACCGTAAAAGAACTTCTAAGGGGGCCCGTTCATAGGCCTACCCTCAGGGCACATTCTTTTTCTCAGGGATGTTCCTTGCTGAGAAAAAGAATTCAGTGATATTTCTCCTATTTGCTTTTGAAAGAGGAGAAATATAGCTCTGTTCCATCTGGCTCACCAGCGGCCAGTTCAAAGTTACCTCTCATGTTCCCTGAACATTGCTGTTATCCTATTCTTTTTTAAGATACCCAGATTTCATATTGTTCAAACACACATGCTCTACAAACAATCTGTGCAGTTGACACACTCACAGGGTCCTGAGGTGACATTCATTCTCCGCAGTTTACGAAGAAGATGACGGGATTAGGAGATTAAAGTAAAGACAGGCATAGGAAAACACAAGGTTGTTGATTGGGGAAGTGATAAGTGTCCATGAAATCTTCACAATTTATGTTCAGAGATTACAGTAAAGACAGGTGTAAGAAATTAAAAAAGTATTAATTTGGGGAACTCATAAATGTCCATGAAATCTTCACAATTTATGATGTTCTGCCGCAGCTTCAGCTGGTCCCTCCGTTCGGGGTCCCTGACTTCCCACAACAATGCAGAATATGAACAATGCCATGTTCTTGCAGAAAACGCTTAGCCTGAGTTTCATAGGAGGTAATCACCAGACAACTGCAGAATGTAGAATACTGAGCAGGACAACTGACCTATCTCCTTCACACAGTCCGTGTCACCACGAATCACACAGCAAATAGGGGAAGAGATATTTTGTGTTCAAAAAAAAGTAAAAAGATAATGTAGCTACATTTCTTCAGTTATTTTGAATCCCAAATATTTCCTCATCTTTTTGTTGTTGTCATTGATTGTGGTGACAAGGACTTGTTTGTAGAGGACAGGTCAGCTGTCTGGCTCAATGATCTACATTCTGAAGTTGTCTGAAAATGTCCTCGTGATTAAATTCAGCCTAAACGTTTTGCCAGGAACACTGCAGAGTCCATGCTGTGAGTTTCCAACCTCAGCCCATCTGCAGGCAGAGAAGGTCTAGTTTGTCCATCACCATGATCATGATATCAGGAC